TTTTTTTTTTTTTTCCCTTCTCCACTGACAGGACAGCGGAGATTTCCCTATCGGAAATATTAGTCTAGCCCCCCGAAGGATACTCCCCCCCTCATCCTCCGGGGGTAGACATATAAGAGGAATTCCCACACGTTTTTAGACATCAATGAAAATTTCATTTTCCCGCCCCTCAAAATTCTTTTTTCCAAAGTTTTTTAAACGGGGAGGAGGGGGGGCTCTAAAATTAAATTTTTTTTATCCACGGGGCCTACAAACACCGATTAAGCCTTTTTTTGTAAAATTATCTCAGGGGGGGCCTGTTTTAAATATCGGCCCCCGTTTTTGGGTGCCCCCCCCCCCCCCCCCCCCCCCCTCCCCTTTACACACTGTCCTTCTTTAACCCTACCCGCCAACCAACAAAACAAAGTAACCCAGAACTAACAAAAACAAAAACACAATAGGTAACCAAAGGCCTCGCCGCCGAATACGGCCCGCACCAGATCCGCGTCAACAACGTCTGCCCCTTACTTTCGGGCACGGGCCTGTTCGAGATGTTCGTTGGCGTGCCGGATACGCCGGAGAACAGGGCGCAGTTCATCTCCAACGTGCCGCTGGGCCGTCTGACGGAGCCGGACGACGTGGCGAATATGTGTTTGTATCTGGGCAGTGAGGAAGGGGCGTTTATTAATGGGACGGATATGATTGTGGATGGGGGGAAGTGTATTTAGATTGGGGGGGTTCAATTTGACTACTTTTTGCTTTTTAGAGATAGAGATTAGAGATAGGATAGAGATGGGGTGGTTTTTTTCATAGGGTTGGGGATGGGATGGGAGAGCTTTTTGAGCTATTAGAGAACTATGACCTCTGGTTTGAGCTGTTTGCCTGTTTTTATTCAATTCAGGTGACGTTTAGGCGTGCTGGGTGACCTTTCCAAGGTGTACAACGGGTGAATAGACGGATAGGAAGATCCAACTGAAAAGAAAAAAACAAAAAAAGAAAGAAAGTTATTATTACCCCTTTTCACTTTTCGTATAGATTCTTCAATAGCCGCACGAGATCTCGGAGAAATAGGTGGAGCATGCATGATACTATGGGTGAAAACTAAACGGCAAAATAAAGGGGGGGAAACAATACAACCCTATTTAACATTCCACAGAGGCTAGCTAACTTATTGAGATAAAATAGATGGTGAAAAATATGTGAAAAAATATAAAAAAAATATCCTTCTCCTCTTCCCTAAAAACTACAGGCATCTCACTACCCACTCCCATCTCTTTCCCCTGCTTCCCCGAATCTAACCAGGGCATCACACGCCCAGCTAGCTAGACACCACCACATCCACACACACACACACACACACACACCATAAAGTATGAGAAAATAAAAAGATACAAAAAAAACACACAAAAACAAGCTTCACAAGCTTCCATCCCTCCAGCTCTTTTTAATGGAAATGCCCGTGTCCATGACGCTTATGAGCCCTCCGCACAGCCTTGGCTCCAGCAGGCGGGGTCGCACCCGCCGGCAGCTCAATGGTCGTCGTCACCTTCTCCTCCATGATGACAACCTCATACACGACGTTGCCCTCAGTGTACGTGCTCGTGGAGATCGGGGTGGCGTTTCCGTTGTAGTCCTCTTTGGGCGCGAAGAATTGGCCGGGGGCTGGGGCCGGGGTTGTGGAGGGTTTGGGGGCAGGTGGGGGTGGGGGTGGGGGTGGGGGACGGGTAGGGGGAGTAGGCTGCTAACACGAGACCCTGATGCGGGTGGGATCTTCTAGCTCTGTCCAGCATCGTCATTCAACTTATTAAAGGTCACAGAACAAATATGGCTGGCATCCATGATTATTGACTCAGGGGCATGCTGTAACTGCAGTTTGCGTACCGGATGAATATGACTCCGGATGTTTAAGGACAGCAGCACTCTGTAGATGACG